TTCTTTCATTCTTCCATTTATGTGTTCATCCATTTATTCATCCATACATTTATCTATTCAATCATTTACGGTACGCGCAGCATTGCGCGCAACATTGCTGGCATAGTAGGATAGTTTTCTACTTCAGCAACGTGGCGTGCAACAAATTGCGTCGTGTCATAACTCGCAACATCGATTGCATGCAACATTGCGCGCAATGTTGCACCGTGTGTCCGTAGCTTCATTTTCTCTTTAATCCATTCACTCATTCACTCYTTAAATCCATTCACTGTCTCTGCAGTGTACCTTATGTGTAAATCATTTTATAACTAACCCTATCAACCATAATTTCCATCTTATATCAGTCTTTCACTCCGTCTATCTTATCGTCATTCTCCTTATCTATCACACATCCTTAACAATCAATCCATCCCTCATTCTATCAATTACTGTCACGTCTAACACATTGTCCAACACCAACTCCGCTACTTTACATCGATAAACCATGATCAACAAAACAAAATAAATAAAGCTGTACATCAGGCTACAGGGTTCTAAAAAAGATTGGAGATGTCTATATACACATGCATGTACAATATACACAGTCTTAAACACAATACCATTATTTACATATTTATTTAAAAAAAGCAACGGCCAAACTCTTCGATGACTGATACACGATATAATACATCGGGAAACTTAATAAATTCAAATTAAAAAAAACTTTATCAGCCTTTTCCTATTTTTTCATCAACTTTTCAAATAAGCACCCACGAGGCTGGGTCACATTTAAGTAGCATATTTTCGTGAAAAATCTAAAGAAAAAGTTTCTTTCAATCACTACTATCGTTTGATCCCATTGCTTAGAATCTAAGGGTGTGGTCATGCTTTTAGTCGAAAAAAATCCTCGTATCTATACAAAAACGTTATAAAAATACCTACAAAAATAAATCTATTGATCCTATTGCAATACCTTGCATTGATTTCCTAGAGGAATTGTTCTGGGGGGCAAATCAATAGGCCGTCTTTTCTTATGAAAAAAAACCCCATAGTTTTGTCCCCCAGAACAATTCCTCTATGGACTCAGTGCAAGGTGTCTATTATCACTTGATAGTTATAGAAAATAAAACGATTGGYGCCTGCACTGCAATCTTGTTTGTATTTTTTGTCGAACATCAAGGTCTGTTTACAAGGAAGGAGGATAACCCTACTCACGGGCGCTAAACCCAAAATGATCATCGTATTTAAGTTATCATCTTTACCTGTCGTCTATACTTTTTATTTCAGGCTTAGTATCTCAAAGTTTAAGCTCTTCGGGCGTGGTTTTGTAGGGCCTTCCTTAGTTCTCCGCCTTACAGTATCGTTATTATTATCATTCTTCACCTCTGGTTCCTCTGTGATGGCTGGCATAAGATTCTCCATACTCGAGGTYAAGTCTCCTGTTGACATTCTTTTATTCTTCAGGGACTTGTTTAATTTTTCAAGCGCTTTTACCTGTGAGAGTAGAAAAAACTGTTTACCACACAGGGGTTTGGTAGTAAAAGGTATACTTTGGTATTATTGATCAAGTTGAATGCACAGCTCTGTTAGTCTTAGAAAAATAAATTTACACGCTAAAACAAGGGACAATTTAGGCTGCGTTCATAATGTATGGCAGAGGGGGGGGGGGCAATTGAAATTTATGGGGGATCGGAAAACATTTTACCAGTAAAATGGGAGGGGGGGTGGTGTTTGGATTTTTTTTCAGAGAACTGGGGGGAGATGCAAAATTTAGCTACGAGAGATTGCCCGGGGGAATAGTTATTTTTTAGGGGACTTCAATGGGGGGTCTTAAGAATTTTTTTGTCTTTTAAAGATTTCACCTGACCCCCTCCCCCTCTGCCATACATTATGAATGCAGCCTTAATAACAGACATATTTATGGACAGACAGACAAACAATCAGAACAAAAAAGACAAAGTTAGAAGTTATTTTTATCAATTTAAGATTTTTACTTGGCAGGTTTACTTTAAAAAAAAGGGAAAAAATAATGAAATTATTATTATTTAGATTATTATTTAGATGGTGTTTTTGCTTTAGGAAACGTAAAATAGTGTTTAATCTATTCATTTACAGGGTGAAACAGAAAAAAATAGTGACTTTAATTCGTTAGTAAAWTCCGAGTTAAGTCTAGTTTATATAAAAAAAAGTCATACGTGCCTTTCTTAATTCATGTCTTTGTAAAAAAGAGTGCAAAAAAGAAGTTTAAAAAGTGCRTTTTATCTTACGCTATGGAATACCCGCCCTTCGAGAATTGACAAAGACAAGAAGACAGAGAGACAAACTGTATTTATCGTACTTACCAGCAATCGTTGGAACCAGGAATCGTTCACCAAAGACATGCAAAACTTTTCAATATGTAATTTTATGTTTAGAAATTTAAGGTGTTTTTAAAATTTAGTTAAGTTTTTCAAAAGTTAGTTAAGATTTTTATCATCAAGGTGAATTTGTAAAAACTGATATCAATTTAAAATACGAATTCATTAATTTA